CTTCATCCTCTATCTAATTTCTAAATGTTGGAGTTCCTTAAGGCTATGTCCTGGCCTCTTTCCCTTCTCATGCTATGATTTCTCAATAAGAAAATTCTTCCACACCCATTGCATTAATTATTCTCCATATACTTATGACTCTCAAATTTACATCTCCAACCCAGACTTCTCTCCTGAGCTTCAGATTTCCATATACAGCTGCCTATTCAACATGTCCACATAGAGGTTTTGCAGGAACTCCAAACTCAGCAGGTTCAAAATTCCCATTGTTCTCTACCTGGGAGAAGAGTACCACCAACCATGCAGTTAGCCAAACTGGTAATTGGAAAGTCCTTATTGACTCATCTACCTCTTTCTTACCATCACATCCAATTGGCCATCTTTTCAATTCTACCCCATAAATATTTTCTCAATGTTGACTTTTCTCCACCTCCACTGCCACCAAAGTCATCACCTGAATACCACTATAGCAGACTCATCACCCTATATCCACTTGATGCCTCTAATACATTTCTACATCAGAGACAGAGTGCTTTTTGATAATTCAGTCATTCACTCATTCCTCAAAAAATATTTATTGAGCTTCTACTATGTGCAAGGTACTTGCTAGATGTTGGTGCTACAAATGTGACCAAGAAATTTATGTTCCTGATCTCCTAGAACTCTAAGAGTTATTGATTAGGATACCTAACTGTCCCGGCCCGCGGGACCTTCTGTTACTCACGGGGGCGAGGGGGACCATGCCTGAAAGAGATAGGCGAGAGAAAGGAACGAGACCAAGCAAAGGGTTGTCAAGGTCTACTTTACTTGGATTTTTAGTAGGTTTTATATACAGAAACAAGGAAGTAGAAACAAAAAAATAGAGTGGGGGAATAATGAGGCTTTCGTGTGGGCTAATCAGCCCCAATCAGCATCCCAATGGCACCGGAAGCTGTTTGTGATGGATCACTCAACCCCAACCTGGCAGGGGGTTGGGAACAATTGCAGGTAGCATGCCCTGGAGCAAGCACATCAGGGAATGCATTCTTCTTGGAACTATAGCTGGGGGGCTGGGTGCTATTTTCGTCTTAGGCTATTTTCCGGGGCAGTCAGGACAAGTCAGGACAAGTCGTTGGAATGTGGAGGGTCTTAGTCTCCAACACCTAACTTAATTGGGATGGGAGTAGGAGAAGTTTCTTTGAGAAAAATTTTTTTTTAATCTGAGATCTAAAGAATAAGTATGAATCAACTAGGTAAAAGGAAGGGCTGGTGCAGGAGAAAGAACATTTTAGGCAGAAGGAACATCATGTGCAAAGGTCCAGAATCAGGAAGAAGCAAGGTATGAGAAACAAGGCATGAGACTGGGCACAGCCAAGCCCTGAAGAGTCGTAAATCTAATTGGGAGGTACTCAGAGTGTTTAGTAGCTGCTCAAAAGGTCTGCCAAAGTAGCTGAGTGTGTGAGTGGAGGTGTGAGCATTTTTCTGAGGAGAAGGTACATAGTTTTCATCAGGGTCTTATAGCCTTTCCTTCTAAAAATGTGAAGAACCACTGCTGGGGTATGAAAGGCCATTTTTAGACTTTGTCCTAAAAGCAATGGATGCCATTGGAAAATATTAAGCCAAAAAGTAACATGGTCTTATTGTAAAATCCACAGAGCCAGGATTTTTATCTCTTTTGTTCACTGACACATCCCAAGCACCTAGAACAGTTCCTTGCACATAGCTGGACCTCAATAAATGATTGCTTAAAGAATGAATGTCTATTTTGGCATTATATTGTATTACATGATATTATAGTCATCTGCTTAATGCCTCTCCATTGCAAGGCTCAATCATGGAAAACCAGCTATGTCTCATTCATCTTTGTGTTACTAGAGATATGGTATAAGTGCTCAGCACAGTGCCTGGCTTAAAATCAGTTTCAATTATCATTCATTCATTCAGCCAATAATTACAGAGCATCTACCAGGTGCCAAGAACTGAGAATCCAAAGATGATTATAATATCATCACTAATCTCAAGGAGGTTACACTCTGGAAAGGAATACTAATAAGTAGGCCTGATAATGCTATGTAATAAATGCTATAAAAGGAATAAGAACAGAACACAGCCCTAAGGGTGTCAGGGAAGCCTAGCAGGCTGAAAAAATTCCTGGGCTGCCCCTGGGCCATGTGAAGGAAAGAAGAGCAAAGCATGGGAGTGGACATTACAGGCAAAATTCAGATGTGAGCAAACAGAGCCCACTAGGACAACTGCAAGTGATTAAGTAAATATGGGGCAAGATGAAGCTACAGAGATAGGCCCATGCCATAAAGCACCTGGACTTTATCGTAAAGACAATGGAAAGTCATTAATGGATGAAAGACAAAGCAGGAGAATGAAGTGGTCATGTTTGCATATAAGAGTACTTGTGCTCCAGAGTGGAGAATGCATTGGAAAAGTAGTAATAGTGGGGGTGGGGGGGCCAGTGACTGGGAGAGGTGATGTTGGCCTGAGGTAAAGTAGAGGTAATGGGAATAGAGAAAAGTGGATGGATTTGAGAGATATTAAGGACGTAAGATCAACAGGAATTAGTGATTAATTAGATGTTAGGGAGAGAATGATGGTGTATTGATGGATAGTTTTTAACTTGGACACCTTGGATGAGTGAGCACAAAGCTGGGGAGCAGGCTTAGAGAGGCAGATGATGAATTCCAATTTGGACAGACTGCATTTGAGTTGTCTTTGGAACATCCATGTGGAGACTTTTAGTTGGCAGTTGAATACACAAATGGATCTGGAGCTCAGAAGGAAGATCTAGGCTGAACACATAAATGTGGGGGTCTTTGCTTATGAATGGTAATTGATTCCTGGGAGTGGTTGAGATCACTCAGAGAGAGTGTGGAGAATAAGGACAAAAGACAGAGACAGAACTCTGGGAGAACATTCAAATAACAAGCATTGTTTTTAGGGGATGAATAAAGAAATAAATGTTGGGCATTTAGAAGAAGGGATCCCTTTCGGTGCTGTCTAGATACTGCTGCCAAATCAGCTGCTATCTTATCTGTGCTTCAGGCAAAGCCTGCTCTTTGGCTTCTCAAATGGAGAATATGTTACCACACCAAAACTGGAAAGTGGGGAAATAGTCTGGACATGTCATACAGCATAATGTGTATCTTCAGGGCTTCTTTTGAGACACATATGTGGATATTCTACTCCGGAGGCTCTATTGATAAACAGATGATAGGTAGCCTCTTGTTTGTCTCCATCAAGAAACACTTTAAAGCTATATGCTTAAAATATAATATGAAATACATTAGAAGTCATTTGATTATGATCTGATGTTGCTCAAATCATCCAGATAATCTCTCTAGTCTGCCTGATTGGTAGTCCTTTGCTTGGCTGGTTGGCTTTGGCATCAAATCTGCAAACTACCCAGTTGGAATATACCTGAAAAATGTTTCTCAAATGCTCCTTTGGGTGGATAAACTTATTGGTTCATATAATTCATATAGATTATTTGTCTATGTTAGGAAGTGTTCCTTGACTGATAAATACTTGCTTTTGAACCCACTAGTTTTCTATAAACCACTGAAAGTTCCCAGGCCTCCCTAGTTGCCTTTAGATTGTATACATTAATGAAGATGTTTCGACAAACTTACTGCAATAAAATTGAAATTAGGCAACTTCCAATAAAACTCTGGTTTACTTGAACAATAGAAGTAAAAGAGAACAAAACTATTAAATCCATCAGGTCAACTGGTCATTTGAGAATTTGTACCAGATTTGACAGAGTGAGGATGGTTTGGTTTTAATGGAAAGCATGCCCAAGCAACATTTCTAGACAAGCTGACTTTTACCAAGTATAATACTTTTTCTTACAACCAAAAGATAACAAATTCACCTCCTACATAAAGAAGTTGGCTTTTGTGCTTTGAGTTTTTATGTTGCTATTTCCTTTACTTTAGAGCAGGCCATTTCAAACTTTTACATGTATAAGCAAACCAATTATTTGATGAACTGCTTTATTTATTTTTTCAGAGTTTTACTGTTTTATATAGTTAATGTTTTAGTTTAAGCCAAAGTGAATTTGTGGTTTCTGAGATCAGGAATTCAAGTGCTTTCTAAAACTAAAGAATAAGTTATTGCTTAAATTAGCCATTTTAGACCCAATCTTTGTTTCTAAATGGTAGTTAAATGTTTATTGACATTCCCACTATTTTGTAATGATAACATATCAATAATAATAAAAGCATGCATTTACTACAAAAGAAAGAAAGGATAATATTGGAACTTCTGTATAGTCTGACAAGTCTTGCTTTTGAAATATATATCTTACTCCATTTTTCTTCCAAAGAAAGAACAGAAGACAGGGAAAAACCTTTCCTCCCATCTAGTGGCTATAAAATATATAAATGTGTTCCTTGGAATTCTAGGCATTAGGAATTGTCTGACAGATTATAATATATCCAACTGTTCACTCAGTTAAGCAAAAGTGAGTTCTAAAACATTTACCAAAGCTAAGCCCAGTGGAGAAATACAAATCTAGGATGATTCACTAATCAACTATCCTTTAATCAATAACATATACTTCTCTTCAGTAGAAGGGTCATGGTACTTCTTAATTCGTTAATCTGAACATAGTGATAGCAAAGACAAGGCTGTATGTCTTTGCTAACAGAGATTGGGACTTATATTTGCCTTTAAAGCAATCAGTGCCCTAGATCTCTCCTGACCCTTAATTGCTCCTTGTTGGCCCCACACCTTGACAACTCTTCCCTCAAGATTTGTATGTGCTGAATTCGCTAGAGAAAGCCAGAAACTGGCTGCCTCTAGGGGACCTCGGCTCCTGAAACTTGGAATAGCAGACTCTGATACTGGCAGCAGGGCCTCTGTGCAGGGCCAAACCAGCCCACAGGAAAGCAGGTTTGGATCCGTTACGCAGCTAGAGGGATTAATGCTTGGTCTACCTGTTTTATATATGTCTTGTGCAGATGTCAAAATCTCTGCTGAATTGTGCCTCTCTCTGGTGATTCTCACAGATTCAAAGAATGAATTTTCTGTGCAATCAGCAAAATCCTGAGAGCTCCAGGAAGAAGAGGAAGGTCAGCGAACCAGTGAAAATCTTCATCCCTTACAGAAAATGAAAGTTCAATGCTTTTGCTACATTTATTATAAAAAAATTTTATGTTGCAAAAACATGCATGAAATGTCTTAATAGGAAAGTAAGTCCCTATTACCAAAACCGTTTTCTAAATTTGTTGCTCAACTTTTTTAGTCAATTAACTAAGTGCTAAATTACTGAGTAGGACATAGACTTACTTTGCCACAAGAAAACAAGGTCACCAGGGCTGCCTTGGGATAGCATTACTTCAAAGTTGACTTAGAGATGAGACACCTTTTATGTTAATATTTGTAAAAGAACCATGGCAGCTATTTTGAAAAGAAATAAGCTGTTGTTCTCAAAGGAAAGGAGGATTTTTTTTTTTTGTATAATTAAACTCTTCAGGTATTTAGACTACTGTGAAATGTTTTAACTTGTTGTAACCTGTCTACTGGAATCCCTCTATAGCTTTATTAAAATTCCCACAGAGTTGCATAGGATGTGTGTGACGATGCTTATCCAGGTGTGATTTATGTGTTAATTTCAATCACAAGGTTGATCAGCTAATTGTGGGACCAAAATGTGCTCTCCCTGTAAAGTTCCTCAATTCTGGCCCCAGGCCCTATTCCGTTAGCCAATCTAAAACAGGGAACATGCTGCAATTTAGAAGCCTGGCTCCCTTTTAAGGCCTATGTTTATTTCTCAGCAAGCACCTTAGTTTATTAGTCTGTAACCTGCAGATGATGCTATTAGTTCTTCCTTATTCTGGAAGAATTTTGATAGGCTTAGTGATTAGTATGAGATGAATAATAAATGACTTAAAGTGTTATTTTTATTATTTATGTAACATGGGATTTAATTTAATTTAATTTAATTTAAATGGGTAAAACCAATAGTTAAGCGTGTGTGCTTTATGGTTAAATAAAACCAAAAATGCAAGGTATTTTTTTGCTCATCTTTTTTCACACCAGGAAAAGTTTCTTCACTTACATCAGTGTTTCACCAGAGGTAAAGTTTAGTCAGGACATCAGCATCTGGAGTGCTTGTCAAGGTATGGATTCCCCGGCCTGCCTTCTCCTATGGAGTCAAACTCTCAGGGTGTGGGCATGTGGAAAACTCTCCAGATTCTAACACACACACACAAATAGAGAACCTATGACACTCTGACGCATACTAAGGGAGAGTCTCTGGGCCAGATGTACATGTGAGCCAGCAGAAAGCTGTGTGTCTCAGTAACAAAGAGGAAAATCCAAGGGAGCCTGCCTGTCCAGCACTCTTGGACCCTTGCCAGACTCTCATCCATTTCTGACCATCCAGGGCAGCCTACCAAATGGGTAGGCTTGAGTTGGGCTGTAACACCAGGGCCTGCCAGTGAGGAGCATTTTCCCTTCTAGCATATTAACTGGACTCATGTAAATCTGCTCTGCCACTGAAAGGAGAAGGGGAAGGGTATTGGGTTTATTATATCCTTGATAGAATTGTGGCCTGAGTCACCATAATTTCTTTTAAGAGAATCACCTAAAGAGATTAGCTGGCTAGTAGAGGGATTAGGTTTGTTTTGTGTCTCTCTAGAGAGCAGAGCTAAGACCAAATTGGTGAAAGCTACAGTAATTTGGCTCAGTATAAGGAAGAGATTTTTACCTCCATAGGTTGTCAAAATTTTGAAATGGGCTATCTTGTGAGTTAGGAGCTTCCCTTCACAGCAAGTGTCTGAACACAAAGGAGCTTCACAAAGACTCTTTACTCTTAAAGCAAATTAGTTTTACTGAATAATTAGTCAATCTGGATTTCAGAAGAAACCATTTTGTTTAAAAGGGGAATTTAGCCCTCAATCTATACTTATGATTTTCGTAAACTTAGCCCAAAGTTGATAGATCCTTTTAGTCAAAGTCTAGAATCTAAATCTGTCTAGAAAATTTCTATGGTGATTTTGTCTCTATTAACACCTTCTTCCCCACCAGAACAGTCTGTCACTGCCAATAGGTGAAATGTATATTTCTTTTTATTTATTTATTTAAGAGGCAGTGGCATGATCATAGCTCAAGTGAGCAACTCCTAGGCTCAAGTGATCCTTCTGTCTCAGTCTCCTGAGTAGTTGGGACTATAGGCCCAGCCACCATGCTCAGCTAATACTTTAATTTTTGTAGAGACAGGGTCTCACTATGTTGCCCAAGCTAGTTTCAAACTCCTGACTTCACACAATCTTCCTGCCTCAGCCTCCCAAAGTGCTGGGATTACAGGCTGGAATGTGTATTTCTGATGTAGTGTGTGTGTGAGAGGCAGCAGAAAGAAGTTACTGGGCTTGTGCCCTTGGCTGAGGACACAGGGAAGGAGATCTGTTATCAGGAAGATCTGAGAACCATGAAAATGTGAACTAGCTGATTTTACACAGCAGAGCTTATATGTGCAACCAGATGTCAAGATCACAGGGTATTCAATTCTGTTTACTGAATGATTTATTAGAAGAAAAGAAATCCTTTTAGTCCATTCAGTTCTGTCCTTAATTATCATGGAATGAATAAACACAAATGCATCAAGAAGCTGGCACTTTGGTGAAAAGAATGAAAACCTAGACCCCAAGCTGGGAAGCCTGAGCTGTACCAGACTAGTCTTTCCCTCACCCTGACTGTGCTTGGGTCATCAGTGTGATTACAAAGATTAGATGATGATAGCTTGGAAACTGGGACATTGTTAAATTAAAAATTATGCAGAGGAAATGTGAATTCATCTGCTTGGGGTTTTTCTGTCTTTACAGAAAGTTGGTCTAGCTGGAAAGGGTTAGGCTTGTGATTGCCGCCAGCCTTTGAAGGCAGACACCAAAACCGCACCTTCATTTCCCCTCTTGCGGGTCCTTCTGGTGTCTGGGTTCTTTCGTTCTCCAGCTCATCTCTGCCAGGAAGAGGCTGGAAATATTCATCAGTGTTAAAGTTGCATTCACAGAAGTTCAGAGTTGTGTATGTGTTTCTAAAATTCCACTAACCATTAGAACCAATTTTCAATGTATCTTAAAATTGTCAATTTATGGTTTCAAATCCAATGTATTGAGTTGTTAGGGACTTCCACAGATTCTTATAGTAAAAATAATTCTCGGTTATAACCATTATCATTTAGAAGAAGGTCGCAAATAATAAAATGAAACTTAACACACTGTGCTTGGAAGAGTTAAGGTAAGGTCCTCCACAGTGTATCATTCTAGATTCTATTAATATACAAGTGAGAAAATGTCTAAATGTATCCTTTTTTAGAAATTATTAGTTTGTTTTTTTTAAAAGGTAATATTTTCAGTGTGACTGATTTCTGTACTGAGGTTCTGGCTGACACCTGATGTGCAATTTTTTTTTTTTGGTTTCTGTAGAGGACGAGGGCACCATTGTGTTGGTTAAATGGAAAAAAGCTTTTATTAATGGGCCTTTTGGTTATGCAATGGTAAAGTCAAGCTGCTATTCAGAAATGGTGAGGCTTGAGGTCCTAAGGAGCTAATTTGCTCATACGACATCCCTTTGGGTGCGCTACACCTCTGCAAATAGGGTTTCATCCTCTGGTGCGGGGTGGGGGTCAAACTCAGTCATGTAGCAGGTGATGGCTCACAAGTACTACTGGCTGTCTGCGGGCCTGGGGTAAACTGGTCCCTGCAACCTGGCTGGAAGTTGCACGTGAGATTTGCTCAGTAGAGAACCCTGGGAAGGGCTTGGCCAACAGTTCTAGGAATAGGCTGATTTACTTAGTTTCAGAGTTTTTTTCTATGTTATAATTCCATTATGTTATCTGTTAGCCTTCAGTAAAGTCTCATTAAACATTTTAGTTTGGTCTTATCTGTGCCACGAGGTTCATCAGTACAGGAGTCTCCCCATGGCAAGAGGGCAGAGACAGGCCAGTTGAGACAGCCAGAAACATCTAGGGGGCACTAGTGGAGCATTCTTTGGGGTCTCAAATACTTATGGGCAGAAACCTGGTCTAAGAGTGGATTTTAGAAGGTTGTTACTTGGGTATTTCAGGACTCCTGAAGCCTAGAGAAGTCTGGGGCATCTAGATACCATTTGGATAATGACTAGTTGACTCAAGGGTAAGCAGGCAAAGTTTTCCATCTTCATTTTACCAAGATGGTTAATAGAAAGCCTAGGCTGCTGGATTCAAAACCTGTCATTTTCTAGATAAGTTATTTCATCTCTCTGGCCCTCAGTTTACTCAAACATGGATAATATGGTACCTACCTCATAACATTGTTATGAGTATTAAGTGAGGGGATTCAAACAAACTGCCCGGCACGTATATAGTCAGTGCTCAACAGATGTTCAGTATTACTGCTACTTTTTAACTCTTAGCATGTCCACTCCCTTAGTCTCCAGGAGCTTAGGATCCCTGTGCTGCTTTCTGCCTACCCAGAGCTTCTACATTAACACCTTCTTCAAACCTGGGGCCAGCACTTGAACCATGCTCCCCTTGCCTCTGTTCTCAGCCCTCTCCCCACTCCTTTCCCCAAATCTAAACTCCCTTTCCCTCAGAACAGTTTGATGGAAGGGAAGCAGCAGATTACCTTTAATGTGCTACTCTCCCACCTTTACATTTTAAAACAGAAGCTTGTTAATAAGAAAACTGAATCTCACCTAGGGACTTTGGTAGAGAACAGATTGAGTAAATAGAGAAGAAGAAAGTTTAACCACTTCGGGACCAGCATCGACTATAGTTGATAGCCACAGATGAACAGGCACAGTGCCTTTAGCCGACAGCCGTGATATAACTTTTCTAATTTTTCATTTATCAAAATAAAATTGTGAACATTTAAAAATAATGTAATGAAAA